ATCTTTCTTGTGAACATTTTCTTTAGGTTAGAAAGTGATGAAGTAGTTTTGTGTTTAAAATGCCCTTCATCCACCATGCTGCAAATGTTCAAAAAAGAAAAATGAAGCGATAATAAAAACAATGGCAAAAAGGCATTTTTAAAAAAACTACCATAGAGATGGTCATAGGCTGAATAATGACTCATCCATCCCCATCCAAAAATGTCTGTCCTAATCCTCAGAATCTGTAAATGTTACCTAATACAGCAAAAGGGACTTCTCCAGGTGTCATTAAGAATTTTGCGATGGGAAGATTATTCTGGATTTTTTTGGGTAGGTTCTAAATGTAGCTACAAGGGTCTTTTGTAAGACAGAGGAAAGAAGGTCAAAGGAGGAAGAAGGCAATGTAACAAAAAAGCAAGGGGACAATGGGATGTGGGACCACAAAACAAGGAATGACAGTCTCTAGAAAAAGGCAAGAAACAGTCTCCCCTTCCAGCCTCCAGAAGGAACCAGCTCTGCTAGCATCTTGATTTTAGCCCCGTAAAACTCACATGAGACCTCTGACCTCCAGAACTGTAAGAGAATAAATGTGTGGTGTTTTAAGGCTCTGAATTTATGGTAATTTGTTACAGTAGCAATAGAAAACTAACACTGAGGTTAGCACTCAAGGATTTGAGACATTGATCTATCACTAGGACTTTCTATGCAGATAATTGAAGAGTTTCCTAAGTATAGATGGACTTTTAGTAAAAGGAGGAACAAGGTGGACTATAACAAAAGATAAACAAGTAGAAGGGGATAAAATAGAGGCATCTAAAATGATACACAGTTTTTAAAAGTAACATACAGATTTTTATAGCTTAAGGAAGTCGGTGAAGGAAATTACACTGTAGTTACTAGGGCAAAAATAAGAAGAAAAATTGTTTAGAGTATCACTTTTAAAGACTGTAAATGAGAAGATATGAAAGGCAAGAGAGTAAAAATAATCAAATATGTGAAATAGTCAAATGCAAATAAGGATTTTAGCAGACTTAGTGGTAAAAGTCACATCGGCAGGATTGAAATGTATTTGATGAGATTCTTCTTCTTCTAAAGACTCAACACTTAATGAATGACCAGCTTTAACTGTATTATAATTTTGACCAATTATCCACTGCCCATTACAGTTTTTAAATAAGGACTAATAATTCAGTGGCTTTTGAATGTGGGTGATTTATCATCACCCTTCAGCCAAAGATCACCAGGAATATACATCTGTAGATGGGTTCTTTACTGCTACTGCTTACCAGGAGGAAGAGCATGTGCCATGGAAAACCATGGGCTGCTTTGTAAGAGATTGTTTAAAAGGATGCATTATAATATTTTGGCTTGTGCTAGGTGATTTAGGGGAGGGTTGAAGAAACTGGGTCTTTTCTCTGGATTGGACCCTGTCAGAAATCTGGGATAATGCTCTGAATGGGTATCTTAGTAAATCCTGTCTAGAAGGCAAGAGCAATGAAATGAGGCTAAAGCTGTAATTAATCGTTAGAGAAGTAGCAGTCAATCTTTGGCCAAAATAGGGGGATTTTTTGTTTCTGTTATGTTTCATTTTTTTTT